TGCATGACGTTGCTACAGCGTGCAGGTCGAGTAGCGCCTGGTTGTTGAACTTCTCGAGAGCTAATGCGGCCTACAATGACGGCGTTTATGGAAGTGCTGATTCATTGGATGATAATTCGTAGATGTTTCTTGCCTGGAAGGCTTCCAACGGGGTTCCCCACTCGTCCTTCTCGGGCTTGTTCACAGCCTGCAGGACAACTCGTCCACCACGAAGATTTTGCATCTTCATGATCTTGAAAGCATGCTCACGTTCCTCGTCGGATTGTTTTCGGAAAAACCTGGAAAAATTAGTGCTACGAAAAGCTGGCAACATTCAATGGCCTAGGAATGGTTGGTAAAAATGGGTGGACTAGCCCTGACTTCACTGGTTAGATAGAGTCCCACAGTACTGGACAAGGCAATGTCCCAGATCCGGGTGGACGAGGTCGGAAAACCACGTCATTAGGCGTTCCACTCCTTTTCACCGCCGAGAGGGAGAGGAAGGAAAAGGAGCGCGCCAAACGTCGTTTCCTGGCCCCTCACTTTAATCCCGAAAGGTGCCCTAAGGCCACACTGCGCTATGCTCGGATGAATGGCGACTCACATTGATTGCGTTTCCTCAATGATGCCCCCCCCCCCTTCACGGCACCACAGGGAGGGTGCACTAGTGAAGGGAACAGAGCTTACGTCGAGGTATTGGTCTCCGCCCATCCGCTTATCGTGGAATCTGCTCAGCCGCTATGCAATGAGCCTACCTTTTTCGTTCCCCTCATGATTAAGCAAATTCGCGATCAAAATAAGCTATAACCTCTCACAGTGTATCGACGATCGGAAGCGATTTTTGAGGCTGCGCTATTTTTCAAAATCGTAGAAAAAAAAAAAACGCAAGAACTCCGCTAGAAGCTGACATACTTAAGGCCTCATGGAACCCCTTTAGGCCCATGCCACCCTCATCCGGCCGTTAGCGCAGCTGAGTACGCCACAATGATATCTTCTCTATAACATCTTTGGACTGGTTTTTACTGGCTGGCTTTCGCGCATAGTCAGATACTTAAGCACTTTTTTGTGCCTATTTGTGTTCCGCTTCCCGCAATCTGCGGTCGCGAACTGTGCCTTTAAACCGTGCTTATATTCACTGGTCGTATTTGGCTCTTTCACACAAATTTCTTCCGAAATCTCCAACCCGAACTGTCATAGCTCTTTCCCAATCCCGACTGAATAATCAGTAACGGGCTCCCGTATGTGGCGAGGATGCTTTCTGGCAGAAGGAAGCGAATGAGGGCGAAAACCAGCCTTTTCCCTTGTTATCGGCCGTTTGTCGAAGATAACGCAAGTCCAAGGACTGCTCACCTTTCGCTCAGCTATCGATTTTTCTGGAAGCCCTTCCAGATTTTTCGTGGTAGAGATGCAGAGGACGGAGGTTCTTGGCACTCGGAACTCTCACACACGGCCTATGTTGTGATCACATTGTCCTCAAGGTGTCATGACCCGCTCTCCAAGTTCAACAACCTACCCGAATCACTATATAATTGGATTTCGTTACGTGAGCATCGAAAGCGTCAGGTTGAGAAAAAAAACACTGATTTTCATTAGGCACTTAGAGGGCCCTTAATTGCGAAAGTTCAACACCTCGGTAATCCGGACGAGTTATCCGGGACGCGTACTGTAATCTGACGCAGCTCTACACGTCAGGCAGCGCGACGTGGCGCGACACTTCATAGGACCACGGCACAGCATCATGATGTCTGAACTGGGTCGGTACCTCCACTCCCCTCCAAAAAATCCTCCTCTGAAACGGCCCTTCCCCATCCTGACAAATAAAGATCTCCTACTTCTTCTCCGAGATCCAGAAGGTTTTCCATGGGTTTATTCGGCATACAAACGGGGAAAAATCGGGGAAAGTCAGCAACCGGAAAATTCTCATCGCAGCTAAGAAAAAAATCCTATTAAGGCCGAATACGAAAGCCATCGACCGAATGTGACACCCTCCTTCCCAGCGACCAGGTACGATGCCTCTTGATGAGATTCTCCCAGCTGCTGTATCCTGCATGGGACTGCCCTTCACTCTCACCCCCTCCTCGTTCACCGCAGCCTTTACACGTTTTTGAATTGCGCCTTTGAATGTACCGCAACATTGGGCGAATAATCGATATGTATGCTCTGTATGTGGCGCATTACGTTTCGATGGAGTATAAACGCCAGCTGAACTCACTTGGAAATTTTTGGCAGAGCGACATCGTCACGGTCAAAGTACATTGACATCGATAAGTAGACGTATGAGGCATACAGCTCGATGTTCACCTGAAAATAAGCATTATTCCTTGGTGTCGTCTCCCGTATCGGGTGTGGGATCTTTACTCATGCTGAACTGGGGCTCTTGGCTTTTGCGTTCTGCCGGGAATGCTGACGCCTGAAGCAGGTCCTTGACTATAAAGCGACCATACTATCTCAGCTTCTCCTTGGAAATGATTCAACTGCCCTGTGACCCTGTCTAACTTATACCACCCCCCCCCCCCCATTAGACCCCTAGTTCTCAACTGCCAGGGATTGGAACCTATAGTAACCCTCACCCGCATTCATTCATCCCCTTAGGTGCCCTGCACCTTCCTTATTCTCCCCATTCAGCTCATGGACGTCTTTCAAGCTTCTGGAGCACCTCAATCCCAATAAGAGCGGGGGTAGCGAACTTCAAGGGCATAGACTTGGGCACATGCTCTATGCAAAGTGTCTGTCAGATCCCCCTCCCCCACACTAATTACCACCTTCGATGTGACCCACATTACAGCTTACCCAACACCAAACTACTAAAATCCTCCGTTATCTAAACGTAGAAGCGAGGGGAGAGTATAAAGTACATGTGAAACGAAAAAAACCAGCATCAAAAAAATTATCCCGAGGAGAAAAACGGTCCCACTCTTGCATAGGCGGCACATAATAGTTTCACACATTATGTGCCAAGCCTATGCAACCCTCAGAACATATAGAACCCTTTCTATTTTCCAGGATTACCGAAGGACTTTTTAGCGCGCTTTTGACTTTCTTTCTCCACTCCAGATAATTCTGTGGGGCTTCTAAGAGCGTCTTCGCTCACTGGTTTCCTAAACTCACTTGGGCCTCTGGTAACGCAAATGCAACTGATCCCGGAAACAGGTTACAGCATCGTGATGTGTGAGGTAGTATTGTAGGTACGACCCCCCCCCCTCCAAGAGAGGGTGTCAGTACGACCCCTTCCCCCTTCTAAAAGAGGGGGTATACAGTGCACATGAAACAGGAAAAATCGTGCAAAAAGTCAACAACCGGAAAACCAACGCGACAAATTTCTCTCAAAGGCACATACGACCCCCCTCTCTCCCAACGACCAAATACGACCCCCTCCCCAGAGAAAAAGTACCCCCCTATGTCGTCTCACACAACGATGCTGTACCCTGCCCGGAAATCCTCCTATCAGGATATTCATCAAAGCTGAGGCTCTCATGAAACTTTATTACAATTCCAGAGATAGGAGGAGGCTAGTATGCAATTCGAAAACTTTGAATCATTTTAGCGCTCCTCTGGGTTCAGCCCATCAAATGGGCAGACTCTACCGCTGCTGACAACCCTCTGGGCGACTCCATGAGCATGCAAAGGATTATGGTAAAAGTTCCAGCAAAAAAAAGGAAAATTGGCTGAGATTTCCTGAACGCTGGTAAATGTAATCTTAGTTCGGCATTTCACCTAGAGCACCAGGGATTCTTTCTGGGAGGTCCTTAGATTCGGTTTCTCGCATCGTTGATGGTGCCTGCTTCGACACATAAGCTTACCCACAGGGGGGAGGGGCAATATGAGGAAAAGTTGCTAAAATTCTCAAGCAGTTTGGCATGAGAGGTAGTAAGTTGGGGGTCGTAGGAGTAAGTTAGGGAAGGGGTCGTATCGTTAGAGAAAGTTAGGAGGGTCGAGTTAAGAGAAAAAAAGGAGGGTCGAGTTCAACAAAATTTTTCCCAATTGCAAGTATATGCCCTGCCCCCCCCATTAAGCAATCCGATTCAAGTTGTCACCAAATAACCGACCTGTTTATTAACAGCTGCCTCGAGCTCCTTGGCGTAGTTCATGCGTATCTGGGACTCCATGGCTCTGTAAACTGTCGAGTTTCACACAGGGGTTACACGAAGCTGAGAGGAACGACGAGATGAAAGGCAACAGAAAGATGAAAAAAAATGTGCAGTTTGGCTTGGAAAGGGCATTTTGCGAGTTTCCATTGCCGATGTCTCCCGTGGAGATCTGTAAAATCCTGTAAAGCTATGCGATAGCATGAGCATCAGTCATGCTTGGCAAGAGTTTACAGGCTTTGCCAAGGTGAGAAGTGTACTTCAAAGGAACCACCGGAAAAAGCAAAATGCCCCTCCCAGCCAAACAGCGTCGAAAAATGGTTTTCGTAACAGTCACACTGACAGCAGGTAAACGTGAAATGGACGACATGTTATCTCAGCCCGCCTTCATTTAAGCCCATCACATGGGCGGACCATACCGCAGCTGATAAGGCAAGAAAACGCTTCGCCGCAGCACAAAGGCTAATGATAAAAGTGATGTTTGGGCAAAGGTAGTCGTGCAGTCGGCGCAATTTGGCTTGGTGTGGGCACCAATTGGTACTTAGCGAGGCCTTTACATATCACCTCGTGAGGACCTGTAAATTCTTGTGACCAAAGTGGTTCCCTTGAACCATTTTGCAGCTTCACAACAATTTACAGATCTCACCAAAATGAGGCCTGTTTTAACATGAAGTAGCAGTAGGAGCTAGCGGAAACATGCTCCTCCTAAGCCGAGTAGTGCCGGAAAATCTCACTAGATACGATTACAAATATGGCTGAATAAGAGCGGACTGGAAAGTGAAATAAATCCGACGTGAAAGTAAAGTCAACCGGCATGCGCCATACCCACGTCAGCTATTCAGAATTATAAAAACGACTGAAAGACTGCTATTTTTAACAAGTAGATTCGGAAGAAAGCCTGCGAAGGTGTTCTTAGTGTTAGGCAAGTTTAGTTATGAGACCTACGTTGCGGCAGAAGCGGTGTGGCAACTTCCGTCGCTTGTGCGGCATTCGCACCAGGACTTAAATGATTTAACATGGGAGTGCTGCAGTGCAACGAGCCAACTGGTAAGGCTACTATCCAGTTAGCGCGCGTGCATACTCCCAGCCGATATCCCCAGAGATGAGAGATGCATATCAATGCGCATGGGTGAGGAAACGATTATATAACCGTAGAGCACTTTGTTACCAGGCGCTGGGCCAAGAGCGCATGCCAAAAGAAACAGTCAAACGAAAAAGAATCTCCAGGAGGAGGCAAAGGATCCGATTACAGGCAAAGTGAACCAACTGAACGCTTGCAAATAATGTCACAGGTCTACCGTAACACTATTTACGTCTATAGGTGCTTCTGTAGCCACTTCTCCAACTGGGATTCCTCGATCAAACATCCAAAAATTAAAACTGGATAGCCCGATAAGAAATATTATAGGACAATCCTGGTGGGGGGGACTGGACCGCAGTGGTGCAACTATGACATTAACTGTGTCGCTGGTAGAACGAACCACCGAACAATAAGAGAGCATTGCGCGGTCTACAGGCAAGCAATACAGGAGATTCTCAGCGCCGGAACGCCTGAAACTAGGATTTCACTACCCCGCCCTCGATTCGAGGAACATAAAGATGAGATAAAAAAAGGCCGGAGGGGTAGAAAAGAAGGCGAAAGAGTTCGAATCGCAGAAAGAAACGAGGACAACGAAGTGATCCTGTCCGGGGTAGTGTTTCCGTCATTCACGGTGCACTAGCTGCGCCAACGACATAGACGGGAAAAACGCTAACTGCTGTCTAACATTTGCACGGACAGTCTTCTGAATCATGGATACAGCTGCGCTCCTTTACCACGTCTAGATAGAATATCCTGGGAGTAGAACAGGTAGTTCTAGAACCAGCTCTGCCCTCTGAAGGGATCACTGTGGAGAAGCCTACTGTGATGTGAAAAGGTGAAGTTGCATAAGTAATTGTTGGTGAATCAGGCCATTTTGGGCAATGATAGTTCCACGGCGCCCTGGTGTATAGGTTGGGGAAAGTTTTGGTCATATATTTTTGAAGGCCCGAAAATATTTGCGATTTCGAAAAGAAGTTAACGAGTAATATGAGCACTTATACATCAAAGAATGGTCTTTCTATTGGTATCACTGGCTTGACTCCTGCCTCTCCTTATCGTGCAATATGAACAAGAATGTTATCCGCTACCTTTGGCACCGACCCCTCCAAAGTGCCTCAAACTCTTTCTTCTACCGCCCTGGCGCCAGCATGACAGCTGTCGACGCCGAAATAACGGAGCTGCACATGGACAATGTCTACAGTCATCTGACAATCTTCCACGACGCTGGCTCTTCAGAGCGGGAGGCTACGGTGCGAATGGCGAAGTGATGTTTGGGAGTACCTGTGATCTCAGCTTGAGATAGCTGTGGGCCGGGAAACTACTGTATAAAGAAGCTGTCTCCTCGGTTAATCCGTACGCAAGGCAGCTACGAGATCTGAAGCGAATCGTCAAGCAGAGGGCAAAATCCATCGGCACAGTCCGTCTCAACGTGCTGGTTGCAGCAAGCTTCCCGTCAGACAAAAGTTGCGAGCGGTACTATCATGGCAAGAAAGCTGATGGCTGCGCACCTTGCACGCGATGTAGTACGGCAGAACATTGCTCTTTCTGACTGCTAGTCGCCTCCCGTATTTAACCGTTATACAGCCGAGAAAACCTCCACGACTTGAGCCCAAGTCAAAGTTGAGATGATGTCCAACATTGCGTCGTGCCAGCCTCCATTGTGAAGCGATGGCATCCACGAAGTGCTCGAAAACTGGCAGGGATTCCGCAATGACATTGCTGTATAATTTTGATCTTGTACGCCTCTCTATAAAAAGAAAGCCTTGTTTGAAAAAATGTGACAGAACTTTCCCGCCAACCTAATAATTCGCTAACCGCGTTACCTCCGGCAGTAAGCGTGCATCTGGGGAAGCTGACAGGGAGTTCGATTCATCAGGTCGGACGATTGGTAAGCTTACAAAACTCCGATCAAGCCATGAGGCATCCGAGCTGGAACCCTAATGTTGGCACGTCCCACGCACACGCATTTTCAGAGACACTCGGATCCGTTCTTTTGCCCCATGTGTGAAGTGAATAAGCCCGCAGCTGGACTAGCGTGCCATTTTCTCCTCTCGGAAGTGAACGAGAACGAGGCTGAAGGGCAGCGATACTCCTGTGCTGACTCCGCCTTGTCTGCTGCGCGGCCAACCACACGAACTGCAGCCAAACGCGCTATTTTATCTGCATCCTCTCACTTCTGGTTATTCTCTGCATACAACTTGTTCGCTACATGACTTTTGTATCGGCACAAGTGCAGCACAGCAAAGGCGGTGCATGGAGAGGGTACTTAGGTACATCTACCGCACAGCTCCGTTGCCGCGCGCTTTTGAGCTGAGAAAGTGACACATTACTGCAGCTACAAAGCGGCGCAGTTCGGCGATGGGGTAGAGGGGGCATTTTGCTTCTAACGATTTGTCAACCTACCTAGATAGCCTTTTCTTGAATTGACACGTTTTACCATGATGGCTAGACCAGCTTGCTCCAGTTTCACAAGAGTTCACAAGTTTCCCCTAGAGTGAGACTTGTAAAGCGAAGTAGTGAAGATGGAGAGTGCAAAAATTTTTGCCCCCGCCCCCCGTCACCGAACTGCGCCGCTTCAGACCCACTCACCTCGCCCATGGCAAAGATCGTCCTCGAAGGTGGGTGTGCAGTTTGCCTTTAAGTTGAATTCAAGTCACTCCCCAAGTCACTCCCTTACCTCCGCTTATACCTATTTTCCGAATCTCCCAGAGAATCTTGTCAATCGGGAGCGAGATGAAAGCACTGAAAACAGGAAGTGTGGAAGCGTTTTTTTTTTTCGGCAAAATAACACACTCTCCCACATCAGGATACAGGGGATAGATGAAATGACGGTATCCCAGTGTCGCACACACCTCCCCCTCAATGTTGGCTTCCGAGGGGAACCCCCTCGCAACCCGCACGTAGAATGTCACCGAATTTGCCTAAAATTTTGTGGGGTGAGCGTAAAAACGCAACTATTCGAAAAATCTGCAGGCGATATACGACCGTCCTACTCAGCCGACCCAACAGCCTCGTGGATGGGTTCACACCAACACTGGTCACACTTCTTCTACAAGTTACGCACCCAAACTCCAAACGACTCCAACGCTTAATTTGAAGTCGCCATGTACCGACTCCTGTTCCCTCGTGTCCATCAGTCCCACTTTCACCCATCATTTCTCCTGCTCTACCGATCTGGAGCGCGAGGAAGGGTGAAGAGGATTAATCCAAATTTGTGAGCCAAGGAAACAGCTGCACTAACGAACTGCAAATTGTGATGGCAAGGCGGCTTATACACTGGTGTTTGCTATTCAGTTGTGGGGGAAGGAGAGCACTCAGCAGTGCCTCTGTGTTCCTACACGCAACCAAGGCTGAGCTTGGAGCGCAGACTACCAGAGTCACCAGAAGACATGGTCTCCACCAAGCCTGTGCCTAGGTCTGGAGAAGGGACACAGAAGCGCTGCCGATTGCCCTCCCCCGCCCACGTTAGCGCCTTTACCCAGGCAAACTACATGCTTGCCAAAATATTATGAAAGTAGATTCGTAATCCAGAGGAACACATAGAGAACCAGGTCTCTGGCTTTTTGTTTACAAAATGCATACGGTAAAAACCAGTACTATGGGCGAATACTCCAGGGTAAAGTTGTTTGTTTTTAAGAAATCAGTAATCACCTGAAAAAAAACACGGCGAAGAAATGAGACAGACGAAGGAACAACGGTCGCAGCGCGGTGGACCACCAACGAATGGCACAGATGTCGATGTGGAATCGATGGGGCTGTCATGAGGCGATCATGGCCGATTCAGGTCATTGCGAATGGATGAACGTATCGAAAGAGAAGAGCAAAATTGTCGCTGCTGATCGCTGTTTCCTGGGATACGCCACTCATTCGACTTCCATTTAACCCCAGTTGGAACACTCATATTTTGCTACTCAAAGCAAAAGAAGATACGGAAAATGCC